GCCCTCCAGACGTTTTAATCCAGCCCTCGAGCTCCTGCTGCGGAGTGAGGCCCGGAGCTTGCCCTGCTCCGGCGCTCCAGCCGGGGAGCAGAGTCAGGGGCTTGCCACGCTCCATGTAGCTCCTGGAACCAGCAGCATGTCCACCCTCTGGCTCCTATGCGTAGGGGCAGCCAGGGGGCTCCGCACGCTGCCCCCGCCCCAAGCACTCCCCCCACCGCTCCCATTGGCCAGGAATCGTGGCCAATGGGAGCTGCAGGGGCGGCGCCTGCGGACAGGGCACCGCGCAGAGCTGCCTGGCCACGCCTCCGCGTAGGAGTTGGATGGGGGACATGCCACTGCTTCTGGGAGTTGCTTGAGATAAGCGCCCCCCGGAGCCTGCACCCCTGACCCCCTCCCGTGTCCCAACCCCCTGCCCCAGCCCTGATACCCCTCCTGCCCTCAAACCCCTCGGTGCCAGCCCAGAGCACCCTCCTGCACCCCCAACGCCTCAGCCCCAGCCCCACCCCCCAGCTAGAACCCTCACCCCCTCCAGTACCCCAACCCCCAATTTTGTGAGCATTCATGGCCCACCATACAATTTCCATACCCAGATGTGGCTCTCAGGCCAAAAAGTTTGCCCACCCCTGGTCTAGAGCCCTGCCCAGGGCGCAGGCCACTGTCCTAGTGTTGCTGTTGTGTGTTGTTCACAAGAACCAGGCTACTCACAATTATATCAGAATCCAGGCCCAGCCCAAGGATGTGTATAAATGTGTTCTTGTCTGGGAGGGAGAACATAGTGCTGGGCCCCTCCAGCTACCACAGGCTGTATCTAGTAGCCCTGCTGAATGAGGCAAGAGGCAGTTTGCTGGAGGATCTTTTCAGAAGCCCCTCTAGTCTAGGCTGGTTCGTAAATGGGCCCATCACTGTGGTATCTGAGCACTTTCCAGCACTGAACGCCCTGGCCTGGGTTTCTGCATGACTTCAGTCATGTCAGAGTGAAGCCAGCTGGGGAACACCCAGGGCACATTACTTATTTTTAATCTAAACTCATCCTAACGCAGCTCCGCTTATCTCTGCAGAACAGAAGCAGCTGACGTGTAGCTGCTACGTGCGGACTGCTCCAGCACAGGGGAGGGGGCCGGTGCATTGGCTGCACAACAAGTTTCCCTTTTGCAGATTGAACGTCACCACTGGAATCAAATCAAGATTGCGGCCAGCCTTTCCTCCACCAAGCACAGGCCATTCCTGCGCGCGCTCTTGGGGAGCAGAACAAGGAAGAACTTCGGGGGCAGGCTCCAAGGCAGATTCCATTCCCCAAGAGCCAATTGTCGCTTCACTGTCTGAAACTGGGTGCAAATCCAGTTGGGAAAGACAGCAGCATCTAAGAAACCCCAGCGGGTTAGCAACAACCACCAGCCACGGTCAGGTGTACCCCCCGGACACTGCTTCCGCAGACACCAGCCTCACCCAGCTCTGCGGAGACATGTTCTGGATGCTGGCAAATCTCTCCAGTGACAGCACGGGGTTAGCTCAGCCCCTCACTCACAATAACCCTGCACCAATCTCCAGCCCAGCTGGGCCAGATCAGAGGTGTGGGGGGGGGATTAATTATTATTTGGTAGGAGTATTTATTGCTACAGCAGCACAGATGGGGATGCTACTTCACAGTCAGGTAAAAGACATGGTAAAAGCTCCTCAGGTGGTGTAAATGATTTATACCAGCTGGGGATTTGGCCCACATTCCCTACCTGAGGGACCATACAATCCAGCCTGCAGTATTAGCCTCATTCTTAACATGAGATACCAGTTAATGAACCAGGAAATAGCAACACTTGGCGCTCTCTCTTCTTCTGTGTAAGCAGGTAAATATCCCTAGAGAACATTCCTACGTAGCCCGCTGCCCCCATGAATCCTCAGACAGCCGGTCTTAGCTTTTCAGCACAAATCTAGGTTCTGGCTGTTTCATACCACCAGCCCTGTCCTGTCCCATAAGATGCAGGATTCCTAAGGAATTCACATCTTCAGGCATAAAACCAGAGCTTTCCTAGGGGTCTGTAGCTGGTGATGGGAACAGAGCAGCCTCAAAATCGCCCAGAGCATTAAGATGTTTAACGTGGAGGGTCTTGTCCACATGAGAGTTGCAGTAGGTCGAAATGGTTTAGTAAACCACAGTCTGTTTTCTCTGTGATGTTGCTTTTAGAGATCCAGGGAAGAGCATGAGAAGGGGGAGCTGGCATGGCAGCACCTGACCCCTCACTCTGCTTCCACACCAGGGAGGAGACCGAGAGCACAGCACTGAATCAGCATTAAAATCCTCATGCTGAGAAGGTTTAGTGCAAACTCAGCATCCAGGCAAAAACAGTGAGCTACAACCCCAGTAGCAAAGACACTGCCCCACCCCCTGGAGAACAGCCCTGCCCTGCCCCCTCCTCAGCCTTGGGTTCCTCTCTGCACTAGTGTTCACCAACCTTGTATGAAGCCCTTGTGCTGAAATGCAGCCAGTGCTCATGAGGGGAGAGACTCCAGGCCACACTTGGAGCTTACAGTATCTCTCATTCTGCCTTTGATCTCTGTCTAAACCCAGCGGAGAGGTGACACATCCCTCTGTCCCTGCCAGCTCACAGCCTGGGCAAGAGGCTCTTGGGGCTTGGAGGCATGAGCCCAGGCTCTCTAGTGATTCCAGCGAAGGGAATCGCCCTGCAGCTTCGGGCTGTTTTCCCAGGGTTTGTTCTCAGTCGCGTGGGTTCCCACCACCTGCTCCTGCACAACAAGGAGCAAAGAACACAGGCCCTGGTTCTGTGCAACAGACGTTTTGCGCTGCACAGCCAGCGAGGAAGGGTGGGTTATTAGCATGAAGTACCACAGGCCGTACGCATGCCGGGGAGCAGATACTCATGCAGACGCACGGAAGGCACCAGCACTGCGTGGGTGAGTCACTGCTCAGCAGGGTGGGCAACAGGGGGCATACTCTGCCCTAGGGTTCTCATGGCACTACCCACTGCGTCATGTCACCCCCCGGCCAGCAGGGATTACAGCTCCTCACAACTGGGTGCCTCGGCAGAGGAGCCCCTCCCAGCCTTGCTAGTGTTTCCCTGCACTCGCGCTCAGAGATGGGACTGGAGGCTGTGGGAAGTGTGCAATTAGCCCCATTAGTGCAGCATCCCCCCCACTTTCACTCACACTCAGCCCCCCACTCCCCAAGTTACTGCAGAGAGTGGCTGCTACCAGGGGCTGAGAGCTACCGGCCTGCCGCCCACATGCACTGCACCAGCCCTTTTGTTCCTTTTTAGGCTGGCAGTGAGGAAGGTGGCTCAAGTATTTTACGGCAGTGTCATTTCCTAGCCAGGCTGTGAGATCAGGGCTGCACCAGACTGGTGACTGGGCACCCAAATCAGCCGCAGGGGTGGGAAGCCCCTGGTGCTGCCCATAGAAGGGGTGGTCACAGCGGGGCTGTTTTCCAGTGTTCTTCCTCTGTGGCCTCAAACTCTGGCACTGTTACACCCTGACTCCTCAGCTGCCATTTTCCCCCTTATACCTGGAGGCTTCCCCATCTCAATCGAACTCTCCCCCACAAGCCCCCCCATCCATGGCAGGAAGGGAGGGAAAATCTTTGTTGGTTGCTAAGTACTAGCCTGAAACCTCCCCTCCTGCTAGACTTGCTGCTGCCCCCAGCTGCAGGGAAATCGCTTGGCCCAAAGACCCCGCTCAGCTCCAGCTGTACGTGAATCCCTTCAAAAACAACAAGGAGTCTGGTGGCACCTTAAAGACTAACAGATTTATTTGGGCATAAGCTTTCGTGGGTATGCATCTGAAGAAGTGAGGTTTTTACCCACGAAAGCTTATGCCCAAATAAATCTGTTAGTCTTTAAGGTGCCACCAGACTCCTTGTTGTTTTGTAGATACAGACTAACACGGCTACCCCCTGATACGTGAATCCCTTCTTCACCCTTCAGTGACTGGCCCCTTTGCACCTCCTGAACTCCAGAGCTGGAGGGACATGGCCAGAGAGTTTGGGTGCCCTACCTCTGCCCACTCCCCGTCCTGCAGAGCAACAGCAACCCCTAACTGAAGTCACTGGGGCTCTCTGTGGGTGTCTGGGCCCTACACATATCCCACTTCAGGGTGGGGACACAAAGCCATAACAGTGTGATGGGAACTACAGGGGCCCAAGCTGCCATGGTGTCCCTGGTGCCGCCTCGGGAGCAGAGATAAGTCACAGGCGTCAGTGTGGGTACAGTGCCACCATAAAACTCTGCTTCCATAAGACAGAGAAATAGAAGGGAGAAGGCTCCGCAGCAGATACAGGGTGGGGCCAATGCACAGGACCCTGACCTGGGACTGAGGAGACCTGGGCTCTTTTCTAGCAAGGTACTTGTCTGGCCTCCTCCCGGTCGTGCCCGGGCATCTCACAACCAATGAATTTTAGCCACACAGGGGTAGGAAGTATCATCCCCTTTTCACGGGGCAGATTCAGTGACTTACCCCATGTCACACAATGAGGCTGCGGCAGAGCTGGGAACTGAACCTGGGTCTCCCAAGCCCCTACTCACTCGACCGCCTCTTTTCCCTAGCCAGTCCCCAGCTCTGCCACTCACCTGCTGCATGCCCCTTTGCAAGCCACTTCATCTCTGTGCCTGTCCCCTTTTTCACTCGCTGTCCATCTGGTCAGTTCAGACAGGGCAGGGACAGTCTCCTGCCCAGTGAGTGAGCAGCGCTCAGCACAAGGGGGCTCGGCTCCCAGCTGGGATGTGTTACCCACCCCCATCAAGGGGAAATGGAGCTAGGTTGTGACCCCTCCCCGCTGCGAATGGGAGTTCAGCAGGAGCTTCCCGGAGCTGACCTGGAGGCAGGTTTGTCCCTGCTACGACTCCGCCCAATTCCTGAGATGAGTTTGGCACCGAGACCTCAGCCAGGTGCTACAGACCCCAGGGAGGCCATCTCCACAGAAGCCAGGTACCTGTGTTTATTTGTAGGCAGCCCCCGGAGAGTGGCATTGAGAGCCACCCTAGGAAGGCGGCACGTCATGTTGCAAAGACCATGCGCCTCTGGGGGTTGTACTTCTTCAGGGTGCCCAGGGGGACGCTGCTCACTTGGAAGTTCCCCCCGCAGATAGTCACAGGGCCGCTGTACTTGGGGGTGAACTCATCTTGATGCTCAGTCCCAAAGAAGCGCTGCCCCTGCCACGGCGGGACCAGGTGAGAGTATTTTATCTGGGGAGACAGGAAAAGCCATTGCGGTGGGGGGGGGGGGATTCCGTCATTAACCTCACAGCCCCTAGAAGTCAACCACCGCTCAGCTCTCTGGCTGCTGAGCACTAGCCCGTAGGGAGCAGGGTTCAAGTCTATGCCAGCCAGCAGCTCTGAGCAGCCTGCCCCCTCGCTTGCTCTGACCCTGCGTGCCCTCTGGCAGAAAAGCAGAGGCTTCCCTGCTGAGAATGGAAGAGGCAGATCCCCATGGCAGCTGGGGTGGCTCTGGCCTCACCCAGTAACGCCCGCACCCTTCCACTGCCAGTCTGTTCACTGGAGAGCCTTTGGTATCTAAATAGGCCCGCTGGGGGGCAGCACATTGTGTACTGGGCTATTAACTGGGCCAAGGTCAGAGGTGGGCAGCCCCCGACCCTTCCCTGCTCCCTCCAGAGAGGCCTACTTGTGGGGTCCACTTGCAGTGTCCTTTTCCCTCCCAGCTGCTGGGGGGCATGAAGAGTTGCTCAGCTATCCTTCTCACCAGGCCTTTGTCCTGAACCTGGCCCCATACGCCAGCTATTGCCGTACCTGCTGCAGCGACTCTTCTGAGGGCCGGAGCATCCACTGTCTGTGCGGGACCAGCATAGCCTGTGTGGTCGTGACAGTGCCTTTACCTGCTCACAAATGGAATAAAGAGCAAAGTCAAGGCATGAAATGAGCAGGAAACAGGCAAGTTAAAGGTCTTGAGAACATGACCTATGAAGGAAGGCTGAAAGAATTGGGTTTGTTTAGTTTGGAAAAGAGAAGACCGAGAGGGGACATGATAGCAGTTTTTAGGTATTTAAAAGGGTGTCATAAGGAGGAGGGAGAAAACTTGTTCACCTTAGCCTCTGAGGATAGAACAAGAAGCAATGGGTTTAAACTGCAGCAAGGGAGGTCTAGGTTGGCCATTAGGAAAAACTTCCTAACTGTCAGGGTGGTTAAACACTGGAATAAATTGCCTAGGGAGGTTGTGGAATCTCCATCTCTGGAGATATTTAAGAGTAGGTTAGATAAGTGTCTATCAGGGATGGTCTAGACAGTATTTGGTCCTGCCATACGGGCAGGGGACTGGACTCGATGACCTCTCGAGGTCCCTTCCAGTCCTAGAATCTATGAATAAGTTTTTCAGTTTGACTCAATCACAGACGTGTCTGGGGTCTGCACTGACTGGGAGAAGAGACACAGGCCTCACCATGGGCAGCTCACTGCACAGATGCAGGCAGAAAAACTGCCACGGTGCATAAGGAAAGGGATGAAGAATGATATGGAAAACACTGCAATGCCAGTCTCTACATTAATGGTGCCACCTCATCTGGAATGCTGCGTGCAGGACTGGTCACCTGATCTCAAAGGACACAAGAGGATTAGAGGGAGTTTAGAGACAGGGAGGAGAATGATTACAGCTCTGGAAAATCTTCTCTATAAAGACAAATGTTGAAGACTAACTGTTTATTTTAGAGGAGGTGAATGAGAGGACATGACAGCAACATACAGAATCATGAATGTCACGGAGAAGGCAGATTGGTCACTGTTCACTCTGTCATATACAGGTGGACACAAAGGCAACAAGTTTAAGAATGATCAAAGGAGGATTTTTCTTCACCCAATGCATAACCAACCTGTGGAACTCACTGTCACTAGACATCATCAGGACTATGGAGAACACAAACATCCATTGTTAGACCCTCCTGCCCCTCAGCCAACCTCTCTCGACACGGGTTAGAGAGAATCTACCCTTACAGCCAGGCTATTGCAGAACTGTCCGTTATGGGGTTAACACCTTCCCTGAAGCATAGGGTGCTGTCCACGGTCAGACACAGGAGAGGGGATTACTTTGGATCTTTGCTCTGAATCACTATAGAAATTCCCAGGTTAGTGCAGGAAAACTCGACCTGCCGAGATTCCTGCTCCCAGTGCTTCAGAGACCTGGACTCTATCCCCTGCCGGCTTGAGAGGCAAACTGGGGGCAGTTCTGTGCAGCCCGCACAATGCACAGCCTGCCATCCCAGCACCCTATCCCAGTTCTCCCAGCCTAGGAGCAAGGGAGTGTCAGGTTGCTCATGCAGGGGGAGCAGGATAGCTCCAGAGCTGTCGTTGTGACAGGGTGACTGGCTTGTGGTCCAGAGAGCCTGGGGCTAAGCCAGCTAGGGGAGCCGCTCACACAGACCCAGACTACTGGACATTCTGGTACTTCAGAGTGACCTCATCCCCCTCAGCGTGACCTTGCATGCACAATGCGTGAGCTCACACCACCACTGCTATTGCTGGCCTGACTTTGCATGCACGGTGTGTGTGACACTGGCAGACCACGTGCTCTTCATTATGGGATCTCCCATCTGCTACTGGACAAAACAATATCCATTTCTATCTTAGCAGCGGCAAGGGATTCACATTAGAAAAGCCGGACTGTCCAGTGTAAAACCGGATGAATGTCCTGCCTAAAACCAGCCCAGATGATAAGATGAGCCCCATCTGAGAGGAACCAGGTGATTCAAATAGAAAAGGCAGCAGGTCTCCTGCAGTGAGGAAACTGCCGAGAAAGGGGGTCTCCTGCAATAAGCCCCAAGGAAGGGACAGTGCCTCAGGGCGGAGGGGCTGTGCCCAGTGTGAGACTGGATGGATGTTTCTCTGTGTGTGTGTTTGCCTTTGGGAACTTCGTTCATTTAATAAAAACCCAGACCAGGACACTGATTGAGCAGCACTGTGTGGACTGTCATTGAAGGAGCCCTGAAGAAGGGGAAAACATAGGCAGGGCACTGCAGAGGCACCCTGGGCCACAAGGGGGCGCTCAGGTGGTGGCCACACTGAGCAGGATACATTCAGTCAGTAATAATGCAAATAAGAAGGAATGGACACGGACACGGACACACACACACACACTCTCTCTCTCTCTCTCTCTCTCTCTCTCTCTCTCTCTCTCTGTGTAGATTCCAGAGCAAAGAACCAAGAGGTTAGAGGGGATCTTTTTAGCCTCTTCCACACAAAGCCCCGTATAAATCCCGGCCTGGGACTGCACAAGCAAAGCTTATAATTCACACACTCCACTACCTCTTCCAACCCAGCGAGAGAGAGAAGGCCTTTGCTTCTGGAAGTCAGCTGTGGCAATTCCAGCAAGAGGAAGAGAAGAGCGAGTGTCTGGCTCGTGTCCAACGGCATATGCTACAAGCCACCCACAAGATGGCAGTGCAACCCTGAGGCTCACACAGGTGGCACCTTTCTGGTCTCTGAGCACTTCGACACTGCTCCTCTGGGGAGGTGGCCAGCCTTCCAGATTAACATCCACCTGCCAGTCCCTGGGAGTGCTGACCAGCACTGCCAGGTGCTGTGCTAGCACAAGTTCCCTGCCTGGCTTTTGGGAGTCCCATTCTTGTAGACAAAGACAACCCCCATCCCAGTGCAGCACATGCCTGCAGCCTCCCACCCAAACACGCCCATCACTTCGATACCCAGCTCACCCCGCTGCAGCAGAGTGACTGGCAGGGGCAGAGCACCAGGATCCCATGCAGAGGAGCAACCGAGAGCACCCGGCACAGCAGCCTGAAGCTGCTCCTGGGACATGTCCCAGGGTTGGGAGCCGCGCTAGGGTCCGAGGGACTTTGCCTTACTGGGATAATTAAAGGGCACGTGGCTCTCGAGGTGGCTCTTGCTGCTGGACGTCTCCCTCTGGCTCTTGGGTGGCGGCTGATAGTCCGAGTGCTGCGTCGTGCTGAAGAAACAGGCGTTTAAATGTTTGTCACCCAGGGGCACTTTGCTTTGTCGTCTCCACGGTGGCACGTCTGGCTGAGGTGGACGTTCCCCCAGGTCAATCTGGAGTAAACGAGAGCAGAAGTTAACGGGCAGGTGCTGTAGCCAAATGCTCCACTTGGCTTCCAGCCGTAAGTATGAGCACCCCACTCAGACAACACAGAGAGGGCCCAGGTCCCCACTGTTAGCTGCAGGATTCTGGCATCCTGCATTGCTTCTGCCTAGGGATGGTGACTCCACAATGATCCCGCGGTTCTCGCCAGCTGGCCTTTGGGGAATGAGCTCTCTGTAGCTGACCTCGCTGGAGGCTGCGAGCCTGCGGCTGGAGGCTCTCCGCGAGCCCTGGCAAAGGGTGCACTGTGGCAGTCGGCACAGGAGCCAGGCCTCCTAGGGTATGTGCCCAAAGACTGGGACAGGAGACTGGCCATGCGTGAATGTTACGAGTGAGCAAGGACAGAGTGTCTTTTAGAGACCCCAGCCTGCAGCAGGAGGCAGCTCTGATCCTGTGACACACTCAGTGATCTTTAGAACACAGTGCTGCTCCGTGATAGCTGCTGCTGAAAGGTGAAAGGCAGGGCACAGACCTGGGTGTGGAAGAATCGGCTAGTGGTGGTGGTCGCACGCTCCCGACTCCTCTCAAGGTCTTCGTCGCCTTTAGGGATCGATGAAGTCTGTTTGCTTAGACACGTAACTTTCACGGGGGCTGGTAAAGGCAAGAAGTGAATCCTGTCAGCGTTCCCAATTCTGAACAGGTTGTCGCTACCGCAGCATTCCTGGGTGGGATGGACAGCTGGAAGGACCCTCCCAGCTGTGTCCTCAGCACGTGGAAAAAGGCTGGTCTTGTGGTTAAGGCACTAGGTGGGGGCAAGAGATTTGGGTTCATTTCCCAGTTCCGCCACAGACGCCTTTTCTTGGGCAAGTCACGTAGGGTCCCAAGCTTAGGTGGGGGCGCTTCACCATTCCCAGTCAGAGATGCTGGGTCCTGAGCATTTTTGAAGATCTGGCCAATGATTTTGGTGCCTAAGTAGGAGCTGAGCTCCTGACAATCTACACCTTAGTATCTCTGAGTCTCAGTCCCCTGTCGGTAAAATGGTAACAATAATCCTTCCTTTCTCCCGCCTCTCTGAGCTCTTCAGGACAGAAACTCTCCTGCTATGTGTATGTGCAGCACCCAGCACAATGGGACACATTGCCATGGTTAGGGCCTCTTGTTGCTACTGTAATACAAACACTACTGGGTAGGATACAGGGTTGAGTAGCTGTGGCTCCCAGTTATGTCTGAGCTGAGGCAGAATGCTGGCAGCTGAGCTTTCTGGTCACAGGATCTGCTGCCTCTGGGACAAACCAAGGACGGGAATAACATAGGGGTAGGAACAGGACAGATATCCATGTGGAGGCCATATCTTCACTGACTATGGGCCAAATGCAGAACTGGTGTAAGCAGGTCCGTTCCCCCCCCCGCTGAAGTCAATTGATATACACCTACTTACATCAGGCATTTATCTGGCCCAGCATGGTCTCTGAGACTTAGCGATGGGGGGAGAAATTTCTCTGAGCACGATCGAATTTGGGATAAAACTGGCCCCAGATTTGATCCCCCAAGCACTGGCTTAGGTTTTGCAAAAACAAAGTCATCCAAGTTTTGCACTAGTCCAGTAGGGGCAATAACAGTGAGATCTTGCATCGTGCTAGTAACAGGGAGACCAAATTTCCCCAGAGGAAGAGTCAAGCCAAGGAAATTAACAGGTGTGGTTCTCAAAGCACACATCTGTCTGCCCCTTGAAATGGGGTGGGAATATCTTCAGAAAGTAGAAAACAGTGCGAGCAGGGAGCATGGCAGAGGAAAGGTCAGTTGTAAATGCTACGCTTACCCCTGGGGGAATATCTATGGCAAAAAAATAAAAATTCTGTGCACAATATTTTAAAATTCTGCATATTTTGTTTGTCAAAATAACACAATATAATCATACCAGTTTCAATTATTTTGGTAATTTATTTCAAAATACCTGTCAGCAAGTAGTCTGTAACAATACAGACAACAAAAAATATTCAGGAAATGGTTTTTTGACAAATAGATTCCTTATTAGGCATATTAATACAGAACTCTGAGTAATCATTGAACTATAATAAAAAAACGCATTTTCTGCATCCCTCAGAAGCAATGCAAAGGCTTGGTGGAGTCAGGGATAATGGAGGAGCTGAGGGCGAGGGAAGGAATTGCTGGGAAGGAGCCTGGGTGTGAACTTGGAGGGTTTGGGGTATGGGTGGGAATAAGTCTGGAACATGTTTTTTGGGGGGGGGGCAGGTAGGGATTGTTAGGGAGCTTCCCCCATGCAGACCCTGGCTGACCCCTAGCCTCTCCCATTCATTAAAACATTAAAAATATGTGCAGCACATGAATGATGCGCGCGTAATGGCGCAGAATTCCCCCAGGAGTATACTCTCCGGCCAATAGGAAGGCACAACAGTACTATCTATGTGATCTCTCACTGTGTCAGGTCACCGTCCCTCCATACCTAGCTCTCGCCGTGGGAACGACTCCAGTGTCACAGTAAAGAATCTGGTGCGACCATCCCCTGGCTTGATGTTCGTCTTGTGTATTTGGAAGGCAGCACATTCTTTGTCATAGACTCTGCAGGCATAAGATGTGAGTTGCTGAGATAAGGTAGTGAGCTGTGAGTGACGTGCTCAAAGACAGCTTGCCTTTAGCGAGCACCACAGAGCCTGGGACAGCAACAACCCCTCAGATGTACTTCTTGGCTACCTGTGGTTCCTTGTGTCCTGGAGAGCGTAGGCACGTTTCTCCTCGCTGGTGCTGACACTGCTCCTGGGGTCTCCAAACACAATGGAAGACTTGCTCTACAGAGAAACCACCTCTGAGTGATGCTGTCTGCTACAGAGCAGACCTCACCAGCTAATTACAAGGGAAACAAGGACTTTGCTGACTGTCTCCACGAGCACTCAGGCTTCCCCAGCACATACTCCAGCCAGTGGTGCAGAAACCATGAGGATGAAGGGCACACATCACCCCTTCGTTGCCTTCTGGAATTCCCAGTTCCAAAGAGACTATTCCTTCATTCTGGAAAGCTAACAATGCTGCTGGACAGGCCACTCCATGGATCAACAGGTGTTTTACTGGAAATCCAAGTGTGACTCTCTAGGTGGGGTGCACAGACTGGGATAGCTCTGATTAGCAGAGTCTAGATGAACCCAGAAATATCATAATTCTTTGCACTCATGGCACCTTAGCACCCACATTTGCCAACAGTCTCACAGCAAGTCAGTGGTAGAGCTGGGATTAGAACCTGGCAGTTGTGACACCCAGTCAAGATTCGTGATATTCACTGCAACAGATACTGAGCCCAAGGCTCGGAAGGGACCAAGCAAGGACTGGATATTTATATGGATAATGAGAACAGCCAGCGTTACAAATCGGATGAAATATATACACGAGCTACAGAGTCTCCTGCTTCAGGCACAAGCCAACCACCAGCTGATGATGTTAGAAAGCAGCTTCCCATATGGACAGGTCATTACAGAGTAACCTGCACCTTCTTCTGAAGCAGGTGTTCAGAGACAGGATCACAGGACTGGCAATTCCTATGCTCCCCTCCCCATAGCTAACCACTAGGCTCCACGTCCACAGGCTGCCTGAGTGGGAAGCAGTGTTTTAGAAGGCTTAGTCCCATCATAATATGAATTGGAAGCAGCATGGCTGAATTTATAGGACTGTGATGTTACCTTTCCACAGGACTTCACAGGAGGGATCCAGCCACCCTCAAACTGTGCTTGATAAGAAGTGCCATAGTAGGAGCATCTGTCACCTTTAATTGTGGGAATTCCTCCTGCCAAACAACACAGGGAGGGAATGATCTGAGTTACTCCTTTGCAGTTCTCAATTACAGTTCTTAGGAAGTGTAAGAAACTGACATGGGAACTAGGGTTCCAAGACAGCTGCTCTCTGCCCAGTCTCACACTGACCTGGAGTATCTACCCACTACAACTAGAGGAAAACGCTATTCAGCCTTGGCTACTTCATCCCTGACAACCCTTCAGCCTGGGGCGCGGTCTGCCTAGAACAAAGGGATTTTGTGCTGCCCATCCCCCAGTCACTGCGTTTAGGAGACCATGGTGGCTCTCAGGTTGGGCAAGTATCCAGAGCTAAGAAATCAGGGTCTGATAGCAAGGACACAAAGTGGCCTTTTCCACAGATCAAAGATCACTCTCTCCTGGACCAAAAACAAACAGACCCACCACCGAAGGAGCAAATTCCACTGGACCTACTCTGGAACTGAGGCCACAGTTCAGCAAAGCCCTTAAGCACAGGCTTTGCGAGTGGGAATTGACTTCTTTAACAATATTGCATCTTGGCTCTCCTGTAATTGCCTAGTGTGGTGAGGTCACTGGCTGGCATGGCAAGTAAATGCATTCACTGGCTTTTCAACTCCGGAGGTCTGGGTCCAAATTCTGCACTAGGTCACTAATGTGTCTGTGTCAGGTAGACCCGATCTGTGCACAACACAAAACCACCACACAGTTTTGCACAACTGGCAGCCTGTGCTAAAGAGAAGCACAGGCTGTAACAGAAACCAGGGATATTGGGAATGCTGCAAGGCAGGACTGCGTGCACCAGCCAAGCTATGGGGTGGGGGCCAAGACTAGAATATCAGAGGGTGCTGCAGATAAAGAGGAAGGTGCACTGGCAGAGCTGCATAGTGAAAGCTTGTATCATCACATGCACTGCCAGCCACTGCTATAAGCCTCTCGCTATCATGATCACCAAATTCACACATGAAATTATAAAAGGGAGACCAGTGATATTTAAATAGTTCTAGATCCTAAAACTCAGCACTTTGATGATAAAGGACTCCACTCACTACAGTAAATACAGACTTAAACTGGTTGTAATGGAAACCTAAACCAAGCCAATGAAAACCCCAGTGCCCATGCATGCCACCTGCCCTGAGACTTGTGAGGCCACAGCCTGACAGAGAGAGCCCCAAACAACTCACCCAGATGCACACATGGCGCTTTGGCAATGGGCTCAAATATCTCATACGCTGGGTATGAAAAACGATAGACAGAAGGCAGGAGCTTTAGTTTGTCTTTGTCTCCACAAGGAAAATGATCTTCCTCCTTATTGTAATCAGCTCTGGTGGAGGCTGGTCCCTGCAGAGTCACGTCTGGCCAAGGGTAGCTCTCCCTTGCAGTTGAGGTGAAAATTTTGGTCTGGGAATCTGCATGCATTTGGAGGTGAGATTCTGGTGGACAGACTTTGGGCTTTGGTTCCAGGGATCTCACTGGAAATGCCAGGTGGGTTTCTGACCAGGTTTCCCTGGCTTTATCCATATCCTGATTCAAAACACCCTTGGAGTTTGGAAGCAGAATTGGGTCTGGTTTGTAACTGCCCCATAAGGGAGGGAAATCAGTGCGGAAAGGAGATTCAACAACGTTTCCCTGTGGTCTATGGTCAAACCCTATCTGAAAATGTGAGGCCTTTAGGAAGGGAATCCCTGTGAGCGGGGCTGGGATTAACGACTGGCCAGTGGCTGCCATTTTCCCCTGTAAAGGAAGAGACATGATATCAGACTCAGGTGCTTCGCTGCCTTGGTCCCTTCCTAAAGAACAAAGAGCAAGAGCCTCCAAGAGATAAGAAGGAACAGGAGATAAGGATCTTTATTCTCTGACTGTTCCTTACAAGATGTCCAAGTAAGGCCCTTGGTAGGAGGCGCCTGCATCATCCCAGAAGCAGCCACTTTTGAACAGCAAACATTTGCACTCTCTACAATGAAATGAGCTCCCAGCAATCCCAGAACTGCGGGTACATCCTCCCATGGAGCTGTCCTGCTCTCCCCCACTGCCATGATAAGAGCAGCCCAGAAGCAACTGGGGCTTTGTCCTGCCTCAGATACAAATTCATCTCTGCTGTCAATCCATGGACATTGCAGGGTTACTACCGGGAAGAATCTGGGCCACAGAATCTCAGGGATTCATGGGAGTTTAGCATGCAGGAAGTTGGCCTTTTGGACCACTTGCTAATCACCCCGTGCCAGGTTCTGGGATATTTCTAACAGGATTATTGGAACCAAAAGGGCAATATTTTAAAACATGGCCAAATGGGGCCAGATGATAGAGGGACGTTAGCCAAGCTCCTCCATCCAGGATTGGATGTGCCATGTGTACAGTCGGTGCCTATTACCACAGCTGAGACTCAAACTGGGCCCCGGGTAGTTCAGAAAGCAGTTTTATAGAATGAACCAAAGGCAGCCTGCCTCAAAAGCAAACCAATAGGACCCATGCTGAACTAAGCTGGGCTGGGAGTCACCTCCCCTCTGGCTGAGTAAAAACCACGCTCTCCTAGTCTCAGCTGGGACTCACTTCCCATGGCCAAGCTGGTCAAAGGAGAGGTGCTAACCTGGTCTCGGCTGGGAGAGGCGCTTCCCATCTCTCACAGGAGAGCCTGAATGGGTTCTCTTATATAAATGGCCATGCATGTGACTCATGAGTTTGGATAGAGCCACATGCCAGCTGGCATCTGTGGACACTAGCTCAGAGCACTCGGCAGTGGGCTGGCTTTGCACCTCTATGGTCCAAATTAATGCAAAGCATGTAAGCGTGTTTAATAAACACCTGCATGTGTACCAGAGTTGGTCTTTCCTATAAACGAGATTAAATTATCTTTCCAAGGTGACTGACTTTGATCAGTGTATTATTATTATTCCTTGCACCCCAATCAGCAATCATTGTGCTGGTACATGCTTACAAGGAAATAACAGGCCCTATCCCCAAGAGTTTACAACCTAAATAGCCATAAATTGGCCATACGCATCAAACACAAGACCCCAGACAAGAAAAGGAATTATTTAGACTTAGAAAAGAAAAACTGAAGACAACCTAAACCCAGTGAGTAACAGCCTATGGGGCAAATCCTAGAAAGGGAGCTGGCTCAGCAGGAGTTCACACACTAATTAGCATCTGACAACAGAACTGTGGCCTCACACAATAATGCTAATCAATGTTTCTCTTCCTTTGAACCCTCAAATGGTACCCCTCATCCATTCATTGCGCCTGAGACAAGTTGACTGTAACTCATCTCCTCCCAAAGCTAAACAATCAACTGCAGAATTTTCAGTGTCCTGTGATGTTATCATAAAAGCATCATGTCATAATGGAATCTCAGCAGCGGAGAGGTGAAGAATCTGATATCTGGAGTAACAAAGATGGAGAAAGTGAGAACAAGAAACAGAGAAATGACTGGAGAGCAAGAGGGCTAAAGAGAAGGAAAACATGCGTACGAGAGAGTAAATTACAGGTGCCAGTGCCATAAGATTTCAGAGAAGCAGCAGTGCTACGTCTGCTTATGAACTGGTAGCCTAAGCCTAGCATAGGCAAGATCAGTACCATCCCTGTCAAACCCTGGTCTCCTGCCCCACAACGGCTCATGGTTGGTGGTGACATTGTGGGATTGTGACATCAAAGGTAAATCAGCCAGTTAACAACCCTCTATCCCAGCCCAGGGAGCAGAGCTACCATACCCTCATTCACAAACCTGAGGCCTGATTCAGCAAAGCTGCTGAGCAGGAGGTACCCACAGAACAGATACGGAATGGAACGTGCAATTTGTGAATTCGTAGGGTAGCTCTGCTCCCTGGGGAACCAGTAATGCGGGAGAAGGGGATATGAGGTCAGCTTCAGAGTCGAAGCACCACACCTCACATTTACACAACCTAGCTGTTTCTCACACACTCTCAAGAAGTTGCTAGCTCATATCACAATCCCAGTGTTTTTCACCCAGGGTTTGGGAACTACCAGATGATGCAAGAGACTGGGAAAGGGATATGGAGACTTTCAGGCCCAGGTCAAAAGGGATTACAAATCCTCAGCCACCAGCTCCGCTGCCCACAAAAGGGCACTCCCAGTCAGCTCAGCAGTAACACCCCCAGGAAGCAGCAAAGAGTCCTGTGGCACCTTATAGACTAACAGACGTTTTGGAGCATGAGCTTTCGTGGGTGAATACCCACTTCTTCGGACGCACCCCCGAAAGCTCATGCTCCAAAACGTCTGTTAGTCTATAAGGTGCCACAAGACTCTTTGCTGCTTTTACAGATCCAGACTAACACAGCTCCCCCTCTGATACTTGACCCCCAGGAAGGGCATTCCTGGCAAAGCTGGCACCGCTGCAGGCCGTGAAGGACTTCGCTCTCCGGGGCTGTGCTGACCCCTGGGGCTGCAGCGAGCACACCGGCTACCCGCCCATACCGCCTGCCCCCGGCCGTGAACAAGACCCCTCGCGACGAAAGCTGGCGGGGGAGCGAGCGCCCACGGAAACGGGCCTGGCGGATTGTATCACCAGGAGGCTGATAACACACAGCACGTGGCGCTCGCCCCAGCGGGGTCTCGAGTGGACCCACCACAGGGCCTGGTGGAGCGAGGCGCCCCCCGCCAGCTGAGGGGCCGCTGGTGTTACACGGGGGCCGGGGACGCACAGCCCGGAGCGGGAAGCACAGGCCCTGCCCGCCCAGGCTCCAGCCAGTCCCAGCTGCCTCTGGGCCGCTCGGGGCAGGGGAACTGCGGCCTAGACAGAGTCCGAGCCCGCCCCGTCGCACACAGGGAAGAGGCCTGGTCCCCATGGCGACAGCGATCCCCCAGCAGGCACCGCGCCATCCCGTGTTGCGTGCAGGGTGCCCGAACGTCATCACGCTGCTAACGTACGTCCGGATGGCTGCTAGTAACCCGGAAGTGTTGCCATGGCGGCAGCTGCGGACCCGCTCAGCAGCCTGGTCTCGGTGCTGGAGTCGTACCGGGGCCGCGACCGAGTGGTGCGTGACGCGCTCCCCCCCCCCGGCGGCGGGGTGCAGAGGGGCGGCAGGGTTTACGGGAGCGGCGCGGTCGGGTTCCCTGGGGGGCTCTAACCCTCCCCTTCCCCCCAGATCCGGACCCTGTGCTATGGCTGCCAGCTGGCCGGGGGGGTCCTGGCCCGGAAAAGCCCCACGGAGTCAGAGATGGGCAGGAGGCTCCTGGCTGTGTCGGCCCAGCTGAGCCACTGCCGGACGGTGCTGCGCCTCTTCGATGATGTCGCCATGCTCGCCTACAGCCGCCAGTACGGGCTGGGTGCCCAGGTAACCAGCCCCGTTCCCCGGGCATGGGAGGTGGAGCCACTCCCCCCAGGAGGGGCAGGCCTGCCCCCCTTCTCCCCTGGGAGCAGGGGTACACAGGGCACGCAGGGCGGTGGGAGACCAAGGGCCCTGTGGAGCTTGACATCCAGGGGCCTAATCCTGCAAAATGCTGCGCTCTCCCCCTCTGCTGACTGCGAGGAGGAGGCGCATGCAGGTGATGGAGGCCGTATAAATACCTAGACATCTGGTCCCCTTGCAGGCTTGGGCCTGCTGTGCAGCATTACCTACGTTGTAATGACCTCTCCTGGGCCCAGGGGCCTCAGCTACCATGTATTTCTCTGAAGTATTTGTATTATTTATTTGAATTGTGGTATCCCCCATTGGGCTCAGGCCCTGTTGCACTGAGTGCTGTACAGACCCCCAGGAAGACATGGGCCCTGCCGCCATTGGCAGCTCACACTCTAAGAAATCTTCACAGTTTTCCACGGCTGCGCTAAGATCCAGTGGAGTTTCAAAGTGAATGTTACAGACAGGATCGTGCTTAGGCTCGCTTTCTCAAGCTTGCAAACTACCCTGTTCACTAAACTGTATTTTGGACTAAGCACGTTCCAAGAAATGGTATTTATAAACTTCAGTGTTCTTTGTATTTCAAGACAAATACAGGCTTCTCCTGTAACTGCTATAGAAGTGCAAGCAACTGCAGAAGTGTGGGACCCTGGCCTAACTCCCTCAGGGGAGTATTAAAGGGCCACGGACGTCTCTGGTTCCAATCTAGCCTTCCCTTCCAAGGCCTATCTCTACCCTTCCCATCATCTTGCAGTAGCAAAAGGTTGACTTCTACTTCCCAATGGCTTATAATGCCAGCCTTCCTCACCCACTTGTTACATTTTCAAACAACCACCTTCCTGTTTTCTCCCATGTTGCCCCTCACATGGAAGGCACGCTCTGTAAACTTAAAGCTACCTCATTATCCACCTTCAAATCTCTCCTTAAAACTCTTCTCTGGCATGATGCTTACAAAAAACTTGACAGCAGCTAGATCACTGGTGTGCTGAGACCACAGTCTATCATAGTGACCAACTGCATCTCATTATTTCCTTTTACTCCACATCTGTTTCTATCCCTTGTCTCTCTTCATATTCTGAGATTGTAAACTCCTTGGGGCAAGGACTGTACTTTTGTTCCTAGCACAGTGGGCTCCATAATACAAATAATAAATTATAACAGAATAGCAGCCTCCAGGGCTCTCACTCCCTCACTTTTCATCGTCATGAAATGTTTATTTTTTAAACAACAACAAAATAGGGTGAGAGCAAAAACCTTGCTGGCCTTTGTAGAAATTCCTGCAGAGATGTCCCTTGCTGGCTCAGCTGAGAGTCCCTGCTTGATGGATATTCATCAGAAACTGTGTGCAAGATCATTGCCGTATGTTGGATATAA